TCATTCAAATCGATACACCAAAATTCCAGCGCGTAAAGTTTTCTCTTTGTTTAGCGCGTTTCAACACTTTTACTCAGCACCTTGCCAACCACGCTCGTGAGCGAGACCCTGACGATGCGACTCTCCCTGCTTCACTAGTGCTTTTCTGCCACAGCAAAGCGCTGAAAAGCTGAACAACTGGTATGTATCACTGCCGACAAAGCGTTTTAATGGTTATGGCATTATTGAATACCGTAACTCTGGACTTCCCAGCCACACGGGTTGACGTGTGAATAATGCAGTATCGATACGAAGATGCGCAACCTCTTTGTTATAGCGTTCCAGGCAGAATGAGTGGAGTACAGCGCCATGTATATCAAGCAGGCTGCTTCTCTCGATTGAAGACTCATCATCACTGCCAACAAGACAGAAACGAAGACATCTTTCGTCTATCTCGGCAACAAAAGTCTTCTGTATTTATTTATCACACAATTCGACTCCAAGATGAGAACATCACTGGCTCTTCTGGCTCTGGCAGCCACAGCCTTTGCCATTCCCCAAGCAGTCACAGAAGACATTGCCCCCAAGGGTAAAGCCCCCAAGGGTTGCACCACCTCATATGATGGCCAATTCGAAGTCACAATCTTCAAGCCAGGAAACGAGAAGCGCGATGTCACCGAGGTAAGCAAGAACATACTCCCATGCTTGGCCCTTGACTAACCAACAACAGCGATCATGCAATGGTGAAGGCGTCCTAGTCTTGAACCTCAAAGATGGCGTTCTCAAGGACGCTCAAGGACGAACTGGTTACATCTCCGAAAGCTACCAATTCCAATTCGACAAGCCCGTTCAAGCTGGCGCAATCTACACATCCGGTTTCTCCGTCTGTTCCAACGGTACCCTCGCATTCGGTTCCTCCGCAATTTTCTGGCAATGCCAGTCCGGTGACTTCTACAACCTCTACGACCGCAACTGGGCTGAGCAATGTGAGCCTGTTGAGTTCGGCGTCATGCCCTGTGGCAAGAGTAAGAATGCTAAGTCCGCCCCCAAGAAGAGAATCGTGGGAAGTAGTGTTGTCGCTACCACCGTTGTAACTGTCGTTTCCGATGGCACAACGAGGGAGGTTCCTACCACGATTGCTGTTCCTATGTGCCAGATTGGTGACGGACAGGTTCAGGTTCGCACGACGCCGTGTGACGACATGGAGATTCCTATCATTACTGCTCCTCCTGTCAGTCAAGTCTCGGATGGCAAGCTTCAGGTTCCCACAACGGCCCCTCCCGCGCCCCCCGCAGTTCAGAAGCCTGCTAAGCCGGCCGATGACACGCCTGCTGAGGGAACCGGAGACGATGCTGGGGATAAGCCCAAGCCTGCTGAAGAGTCGAAGCCCGGTGCTTCTCCTGCTGGGAACGCTGCGCCTGACAACACAGGTGCGGCGCAGGCTGACAAGCCCGCTGGAGATGAGCCTTCTGCAACAGGCGCCGGACGCAAGTCGAAGGCTACTAAGACCGACGATGAAGTGCTGGTCACTGACTCTGGTGTCCCCTCCGACACTGAGACTGAGGAGTCTGGTTCTTCTCGAAGCACACGCGCCGTCAAGCCTTTCAAGCCTCAGACGACCGAGAGTGATGACTCTGAGGAGACTGGAAGTAGCTCCAGTACCAGCTCAGACGACGCTGCGTCCACCGGTGCTGCTCAGTCTGATGCCTTCAAGATTGCCGCAAGTTTGGGCATGGTGCTTGTATCGGGCCTGCTTGGATCTCTGTTGATTCTGTAAATGATGATGGGACTGCGATGGTTGATTGAGGTTATGATTGTAAATGTTTTCTCGCATAAATGTGGTGTTCTGGTTTTCTCATGTCGGAGGGATTGGGTATGTGGATTTAGGTATTTCTTTACAAGCAGTCAATGACAAAATAGACATGGAATCATAAAACTAAAGGTCTTCAAACGTCGATGTTCAATTGCTTCTGGTTTGTTGCTGCAAGCCAAGTCAGTGAAGATGATTCCTCATCATTACCCCACTGTAAAGGATGTGGGTGGATCTGTTTTAGCACCACCATTAGTGTCTGTCATCGGCATTCACAGCGCTCTCAAGCTTTGTGAGGGGTCTTTCAAACTTCTTTGATACACAATCCTTTCTAATTCACAAAATTTACACAAAGGTTTGTGTACGTGAAACAATGGACGACTCATTCATAGGTAATCTCAAAGAGAGTGTCCATCGACTGACGCCGACATCGATCGCCATCTTAGTAGCAGTCCTAGTGTGCAGTCTCATCGCCATCTCGCTTCAAAATGGCTCTTCAACACCAAAAGAGCTTCGCAATCTTCGACAAGAAGGCGTGTCGTCAAGTAACATGAACGACCAAAATGATACCAAATATGACCTTCCTGAGAACAGCGAAAACAGTGGCCCAATACGTGTCAAAGCAATCTTTGTGCATCCCATCAAATCATGCGCACCGGTAGAATTGAACCGAGCGCAGCTCATCAAGAGTGGCTTTGTCTGGGACCGATGCTTTGCTCTGGCGACAGAAGTCAATCGGGCAGAATCAGAAGGAGGTCCAATATGGCGATTTATCAGCCAGCGGACCAAACCGCTCATGTCGCAGATAAAGACCGAATTATGGCTGAGACCTGAAGGCCACAATGCGAGATCGTCATTCGATTCAGTGGGATGTCTCGTCTTCAAGTTCCCAGACCCAGATCCTTTGAGTTTGCTTGACCAGCTCAAAGCGCTGCTTTTTTCTCACCAAAAGGAAATTTCTGCTTTTGTACCACTGTCTCCAAATGAGAATTATCTCAAGAATTATGGAATCACCATGAAGAAATTTGCGATTCATTCACGAGAAGCAGAAGGCTTGGATCTGGGACATGCACCATCAATTGCATCTGCACTTCCCAAACTCAAGCGCTTCCTCAACATCCCCGATCATCAAAATCTCACGCTTTTACACTGTACACCAAGCACTCTCGTGCCAACAGAGAAAAACCTCGCACCGTTGGAACACATCGGCAGACCGGCTGTTCATGGTTACACAGACCAACAGCCCGTCAACGTGAACAGTCTCGCCTCCGTCCACGCCGTTTCAGCCCTTCTCCCCAAAGAAAACCAGCCTCTCAATGCGCTCCGCTTCCGCGCCAACATTTGGATCACGGGCGCTCCGGCGTTTGATGAAGAAACATGGAAACGATATCGCGTTGTGCCAAAACAACAAGATGCAGCCTCCCCTTCACTCTCTGTCGTTTGCCGAACATCGCGCTGCACGTTGCCGAACGTGAATCCTCTCACTGGCAAATTTGACACCGACAATCCGCATGGTGACAGAACGAGAGGGAATGCGCAGCCTAGCTCGACGCTTGTCAAGCATCGAACGGTTGAGGATGGAAACCCAAGGGCTCTCGGGTACCTTGGCATGCACTGTGTGCCGGAGAATGCAGGCTTGCAGCAGGCCACGGATAGTGTTCAAAGTTTGTACGTTCAAGTCGGTGACGAGATTGAGGTTCTTGAGCGTGGAGTCCATTTGTACGGATCGACTGCGAATGAGTACTAGCACAATGTCTCACCTCGTGCATTTACCACGAGCCCGGCTAGAGGAGGAAAGAAAACTCAGGACCTTGATCCTCAGTGACAAAAAGGCTTAGGCAATTTTACATAAATTTAGCCTAAGTTTAGGATACCTTTTGCTAAGTTTATTTCAACACCCTATATCAAGGTCTGATGTTTTCTTGCTCCCTGAGGCCCGGAAATCTCAAAACAGAAACTCCCTCCCCTACACCAAAACTCTCCGTTGCAAGGTCAGCACCTCTCCCATCGGCATCCTTGTCTAGCGCAGACGATCAATTTTACAAAAAGCCACACTTGATGCCAAGCCAACGCCTGTGTTACCATGTAAGCGGTAAAGATGTGTTGATAGGCTATCTCACTCTTGGTGATTGGATAACGGGTGCCGTGCGGGGATGTATGGCGTTTTGTTTGAGTCTGGTTGTTGGGTCATGGCCGAATTCGCACGCTATGGATCTTTATTATTAAACTCTTGAAGAGAGTTGATCCCGGAATTATCGAAGTCGTAACTGAAGAATTCAATGTAGACAAGGAATTGTAGGAAATTACGAGTGCTCCAACTTCATACAGGTTCCTACTGAGACCTGCAGGACAGCTCCTCAGATATATTACCACAGTGTGCAGATCCCCTTGTAACATACCTGTCTTGCCTGTGGCTTGCTAGTCTCCTCACATTTATTTTCTTTGTTTGCCCTCCTGCATTTCTCTCCTCTTCTTTCTCTCTTGTTTCCCAATCCTTTGTCTCTCTCATCCCAAGCCCTGAACCGTCCTAACCATGACTGAGCTGGAGCCAACAGCGTTATGGCTTCCAGACGAGATCCTCTTCAATATCTTGTCCATGCTGCACGATAGTGACAATATTGATGCAATCTCTACCAAAGAAGCAAACATAACCCTCTTCAATGCGTGCTTGGCATCAAGGCGACTCGAAAGCCTTGCTCAGAGAGTCCTGTATCACCGTATAGACGCACGCTCCTCAAAGTGTCTTCTAACGCTAGGCCAAAATCCTCATCTGTGTCGTCTGGTTCGAGAGCTATATTGCCCTTATGAGACGGAAGTGGTCAATGCCTTGCTACACCCACACTTTCGAAACTATATATGGCTCCCATCTTCATGGACTGTCCGTTTTCCGGGTTGGCTCGAAACTGAACATGGCCGACAGGAATACTACGACCAGGCAACAACCTTCTGGATGCAGAGACTACCCAACCTCAATAGACTCACTATCAGTCTGAACTACGGCATGAAAACTTTGGCGAAAATAGTCCATAAGTGTTTGAACGGGCAGCCAAGGCGATTCCAACGGTTGACGAGAATCGACTGAAAGCTTAGTCCAAGCGGTCTACCAACATGCATCCAGTCGAGCTTGATTCTATTCCAGCTGCCGTTTCTAAAAACAGTGACCATCCATGGCATGCAATTCATTGCTAGAACCAATAGCGGGGACTTGGAAATGCCAAAGAATGCCTGCAAGCGACTTGAAAGGCTTGACGCCGACTTTTCATGGATCACACCAGGCAGCTTGCGAAATCTGCTGTCAGTCTGCGAGAGTCTTCGCTTCCTGGATATCAAGGTCGTAACAATGTTATCAACAACGTGTGACCCCTTCAAATACTTCTTCGGCGACTGGATTCAGCACTGCCATGCCTTGGAGAGTCTTGACATTCAGATCAAGGCATCTAGGCGGTGGACAGACGGGTTGGCTGGTGGTAGGGAGGTCCAGGAGCACACATGGGCTGCAAACAACATCGGATCACTCCAGAACTTGACCCGTCTCAAGAGATTCTCCTTGAGTGTGGAGCTTCGTCATTTGACGATGCCACCAGGACCCTCCGTTCCTACTCCCAGTCCGGCAAAGCTTGATTTTGAGCCTATGCTTCCGACCTCAATTGAGCAGTTTGAGATCAGGAAGATCGGCATTCCAAACTACAAGGATTTTGTCAGGAACATACGTGAACTGCTCCAGTCAAAGCGGCTGAAGAATTTGCATCATGTATCCATGGCAGCTAACTTGAAGCCACATCATCTCGTACAATCGGGCTGGGAGGTACAATTGCGTGGGTCCGGCCAGTCTAAAAAGGTCATTTATTTGCTGAACGAAGGCCGTAAGAAGAGAGTCCGATCATCATATCATGAGTAAGGGTTCCAAGTCTTGGTCGGAGTAGCTTTCGGGCTTGTCTCCCATTGTCATCGCGATAAAGTTTTAAGAGTGGTTGATGATGGGTTCATTCCATTCGATTGGAACTTTTCTCTTCCTCTTTGTGCCTAGATAATGGCTAGTTTTGTGGTCGAGGAGCGGAGCAAAGTTTTTGATATGGGCATGTAAAGGTTTCTTCTACACACGCTTCCTCGTTAGTGTCCTGACAGGCAAAGCGCCCTGTTCCCATCGAAGTATTAGAATGATGAATAAATCAGTCATGTTGATGATGTGGAAGTGATTAACCTGTCTTATCTTGGTGAAGGCGGCCCAAAAGTAGTTCCATGCTCGTGTATCCCTCGAGATTTCAGTGACAGCTTGGCCAAAGCTTCCCTGATACCCAAAGTCTTCAGTCAGAGTCATGTCCATGTTCGTGAGCCCACCTCGCCTGGCTCTGAATCCACTGCTTAACCTTATCACCTGAGTTCATCGAAAGCAATTCTGGATTGCCTGTCGCGCAAACTAGCGCAGTGAACAGGATGCATGCCCACTGAATGTTTATAACCTCTGCGAAGCATTTCGTGTCGTCTGTTGGCATGTTGATATGAATAAGGTGTCCTGAGAGCAGTGAATCCCCGGACTTGGTGAGATGTCGAAGTGCTTCTTGACAGGGAGTCGGCGGTGGACTACCTTGACTGTGAAACACATTGAGCTCTTCGATCCACTGCTGCCAGTCACTTCCTGGGCCGGTGCCATGGATGTCTATCTCTTGACCAAGACGCTTCTTGATTTGTGGCATGCATCGGAACTGCAAGGTGACTTTTGATTCGTTCTCATTAGAGTTCTCGGTGCGGATGTACTTGAATGCGCAGTAGCCCTTAGCCCACAGCTTGTGCAGCTCGGGATGTAGGCACATCATGTTCCATACTTTGTTAGTACCCCCCAGCTCCTGCGGATTGCAAACGTAACGAGCCGCACCGGAGAGATTGGTTCTGAATAAGCCACGAGCACGAACCTTGATGTCTCCAGTCGTGTTGTTATGCTCCTTAGTGTCGTTCCAGGTATATGGAATGATGTGGCTGACCATTGGATTTGCTGTGCCAAGCACAACACAGGTTTTGCCGTCGCGATCCAGGTACTTAGCTTCTTCTTCTCTGTCGCGGACATGATCATCGAGTTTGAGATTAGTCCCGACAACGGGCGTGTCCCAGGAAAAACTCACATCAGGACCCGAATCGCTATCAGATCCTGGAGTCTCAGACCTTGCTGGAACGTGGTCTTGGAGCTCCGGCGATGATCTTGATATCTGGGTTACTCACTGTCCATCTAGGCCGTTTTCTTTCCCCTGGTGGACTAGGTCTAAAACATGCATGTCAGTTCATTGTCCCAATCGCGAAAATCTTGGCGGTTTCCTTACAGTGCTTGCACAGTGGTGCAATTCCATCGAGAACTCGTTTCATATAATATGCCAAGGTGGGATAGTAGGTAACGCCGTTGTGTTCGAAACGGTGCACTGAGAACACCTGGCCAGGCTCAAAATGCTCGATAGATGCCGTCAAAATAGTTGAAACATCTTCTGCGCGAAGACGAAATCCGAACACGTCTCGCTTGATATAGCTCTCGAGCCGGACTGCTATTTCGTGTCGTTTGTCCAGCTCATCGACGCACAGAAGATGACCTGGTGCCGTAAAAGCGCCATGAGGTGATAGCTCCATGGCCGAATCAGCAAAGTTTGCCTACAAAATCTGGGGATCATGGAATTGCTGAACAGAGTTGAAATACAAAGAAGCGCGGACTTGGCAAGATGTGTTCTCATACATAGGTAGTCGGACGCCACTGCGCCGTGGCTAAATTTATGTAATAAATAACCCTTCCACAAAACAGTAAAAGACTATTTCATGTTAGCTTCAATGCATCGCAAACAGTCTTCTATGTATAATGAAAACTAGAGTAATCGTTTCAACTGTATAGGTATCCTATTAGTATTCTCTTCTTGAGTTTGTAAGTTAGCCTGGAAAGGTATAATTAAGCATCTACCAAGTCTAACGTAATTTAAACATATATCCCTCATCAGAACCTACATAACTCAACTTCCAAGTATTCCATACAATTGTGATATTGTCAAGGTAACTATATTGAAATTGCGGATGGGGTGCAAACCTGTTTGACCAATCACTGGTCAGATCGTCTGTCGATATCCAACACTCAAGCGCGGGGAAGCATTGCATCTAGAGATTCGTTTTCAGCTAACACAACACTGCAGCCATAACGTCCTGAACCAGCACAAAACAGTCAGCGCAAAAGTGCATAGCCTTCCGCCAAGCCCGAAAATGGAACAGTACGCGAAAGTGTTTATGGCTCCACGCAAGCCTGATCCGGGTGACAAGGGCGTTTCCATCTTCCTCGCGGGAATAACAACGAGCACCGACGAGCCTGACTGGCGAGAAGTTCTAACAAACGATTTGATGAATCACCCAGTGACGATTCTGAACCCAAGCAGGCCGGATTGGGATAGCACTTGGAAGGAGGACTTCTCGGACAAGCGATGGGAGGAACAGGTTTGGTGGGAGCTTGATATGCAAGAGGCTGCAGACATCATTGTTTTCATGTTCCACCCTTCGACAGATGCCCCGATCAGTCTTATGGAGCTTGGTTTGGCTGTCAAGGAAAAGTCAAAAAGCATTATTGTGTGTGCTCAGGATGGCTACAGAAAGAAAGGGAATGTTGAGGCGGTTTGTAAAAGGTTTGGGGCAAAATTAGTGAGTACGGAAAACGAACTTAGAGATGCCATCATTGTGACCCTGGAAGATGGTCACAAATGATTGCTCTTTGAAACACTTGTAGGCAATCAAGAGGGCATTCACATCGAGAGTACGTACATATATGGGGTATATAAGAGGCCATTGGCGCCCATTAATGCTCTACTTGCAATAATATTATGAAGAACGACAGAGATTAATTGTTAAGCCGCTGCAGCACTGAAATCCTAAACTTACCTAAGTTTAGGCTTCTAAGCTTTTGTGTAGCGTCATGTTACGGTCCATCCATCCTTCTGTTCCGTTTGGTCTACCTTAGCAAAGACGAAATATTCGTATGTTGTTCTTGTCCTTTATAACTTCGTACTGCGTTCGAGCACCAAGAAGAATACTTATGACATTGGGACTGAATCGCTTAAGCCGTGCAAAACGCCTGACCTGGAAAGAGAGCGTTGTGTTTAAGCGCAAATGTCCATCTTGAAGTTCGATCCTTTGTGATCTTGAGTCTCGCCTCTTTGTCCTCGTAGTATTTAGTGAAGGAGTACATTCTTTGTGTGCGAAATGAGCTGACTGCAACATGACTCCTTCTGTTCAGGTGCATGTTCAGTTTTTTAACAATGGGTCATTAATGATAGGAGTACTGCAACTTGTTCTCTGGCGTGAACAAGAGAACACCAGTGCTACCAAGTTACGCTTAAATTCCCAATGGCCTCCTACGTTTCCTCGAGGCATTGCACATCCCGGTTCTCTCATCCTCTCTATCGCTTACAAAACTAACATAGTTACATCTGTGAGTCTTCGAGCATGTCTGAGAATAACAAGAGTGCTTCTGTCCAGCTTTGGCCTTGGCAGAAGCGAGCTCTCGAGAATGGACGTACGCCGCTACCTGAAAGTCCAGGAGAAAGACCCTGGCTAGACCTTTCACAAGATACCGAGATATCTGCCACTCCTTTATCGGCTTTAACAAATGCAAGTACCCCTCAAAGGCGAAACTGCCACCAGACCGTGGCGAGTATCATTAAATCCTTGTCAAAACTTAACATCAGCTAACATCGTTGACAGGTTGCTACACCGAACCAGCGCTGGTGGACAGAAAGTGAAATGAGACGGCTAATTCAGCTGAGGAACAACGGGGAGTCCTGGGCCACTATCACTGTAATTGTTTAACTTAAACTATCTAGAACGTAACTAACCTCCTTTCTAGGCACAATTCCCAGGACGGACTCTTCAAGGAGTCAAGCAGACATACCGCAAGCGTCGATTCGCTACTGAGCAACAAATGGAGAAAGAGGCATTAGCAGCGGCTTCTGCTAACCCTTCTCTTATTAGAGACGACACTGAGAAGCGTAATCAGTGATTTAAAGATTGCAATCCAGGGTTAATAGAGATGACCCTCGCCATGACCCTCATATCCCCTCTTACACTTACTATGTCTTGCCCAGATACTTCAAGTCCTGGAGCGTCTCTTTTATCTGTCCTATGCTGCCACATCCATTGTCATTGTGTTATTGAATTTTCATAGCTGCAACAGTTTATATATACACATCACTAAGCATTTTTGATAATTTCCTTTCCGACTCTGAATTCTTCACAATATGGGCTCTGGGATAGCCATGACCAACACGATTGTACTATAAGATCAAGCTCCGAGAGCTCACAACTTTAGACAATGAAACTCTCACAGGTATTGAGGATTTTACTGTTCACTTACCAGGAAGGATTCAATTTTCTCTTTCGTAACACTGACACCAACTTCAAACTCACTGTTTGTCGTTATGCCCAATGTCACTATAAGCAAAACAATATGACCGGATGAATATATAATTGATCTATTGTAATATCTTGACACCAATCAAAAGCTTAAGTCTTATCATTGCTTTTAACGGACAACTTGTTGGCACTGCGGAACAATGCCAGGAGCTGCACGGTTGCTGCCGCTGGCAACTTCATCGCTTTATTCTTGGTTCCCCTACCTCTACCTGTTTCTCGGATTGCACCCTACATTTCCCTTCAGCTGCATCCCTCAGACGGCCAGAGCCCTGGAAATCAGAAAGACTTCGAGATGAAGCCCTGGCACGAAAAGGCCCTCAAGCGTGGGCGGTCGCCTTTGCCAGAAGGCCCAGGTCAAAGACCATGGCTCCCCTTGGAACCACACGAACGACCTTCAATAAATCGCGAGGTGTCGGGCGCTCCTCAAGGACCCAATCACACCGAATATACTGTACCGGCCTCGGCTCCAGACGAGGCCAACGTAAGTCCCGGCGCCCTACGAGCCATATTCAAGTTACTAAACCAATTATCAGGAGAGTAGAAACTTGTCATACCGCTTCCGGGAGGAGTCTGAAGTGCGTCGGTTGATAGAAATGAGATCTGGCGGGGCTAAATGGAGCGCCATTGCGGTCAGTTCCATTTCTAATCTTCCATAGATGATTCATTCCCAAGTACTAACGATTCTGTAGCAAGTCTTTCCTAACCGCACTCTTGAGGCACTGAAACAAACCTACCACAAGCGAAGACAGGCTGTGGAACAAAGGATCGGAGAGGAGAAATCCAGCGGCAAAGCGGAAAAGAATGATTAGATCAAGCCTGCAGTCATATATATACATAATTATGGCGGCCACAACGGTAGCAACAACATAAACAAACCTCTCATCGAAAGCCGTTTTGGAATCAATCGCAACACTATATCAGTTGGGACTATACTGTGACTTCTTTCTAGCTATATATAAATATTGTCTTGGTCTAACATGGGCGTTTCGCACACTTAGAAGGCACCCAGATTGCCCGCCAGGGTATCGCAGTTCCTCATGACCAGATTCGATACCTCGAGCTCACGATAATACACGGATTCATCTATGATGATTCCTTCATGGACCAACTTCACAAAACTTTCCAGGCGTCAGGTATAGGTAAATTGTGATACTTCATTGAGTGCCGTACGATTTATCAGAACCATATTTGTTCGAGCTTACACTCTTTGCCTGAACTATAACCAGAGAACATCAATTCGTATGGTTTTAATCATTTTGTTGCCATTTGTTTCTCGCCAAAATAGCATAAGGCTTATCAGAAATGACAAGCTTGACTCACTCAGCAAATCAACAAGAGGCGAGAGTCACAGTTCCATGACCAAACGCAGATCAGCGAGCAAGTATTATCACACTTCGAAGGCAAGAAAAAGAGTTTCGTGTCAAGATGGCAATGAAAACATAAAACTTTGCCCCAAGTTACAGTCAGAATCGATTCTGATCTAAAATAGCTTGCGAGGTAGCTTGGCGAGATCCAAATCTTTTGCCGTGACAAAAGACTTTCTATACATTCCGCATCAAACCTAGTCGCTTACTCTGGCTCAAAGCTTTCTGAGAATAACTATAAATAACAGTACTCCCCTCCTAAATTTCATTCACTCTTGAATCACATCAAGTCTCGCAGTGTCTGACAGTATCAAACCATGGCACCGAAAGGCTCTTGAACGGGGCCGAGCTCCCCTTCGCGACGCACCGGGCCATTGCCCATGGCTGAGGAACGATATTGATCTTGACACATCGTCACCTGATGAGTATAACGAGGGGTCCAGCAGTGGGTTTCAAATGAGATCATGAGCTCCGAGGCGTAGGTCGGTGGTTCCCTCAAATCCTATCCTCAAAGATTCATCTAACAGTAGCAGAGGGATCCCGCAGCAACACCCTTAGCCACCCACACAGTTTCAATACACGCATTAGCGATGATTTCAGTTCTCAATTTAAAGATCCGATTGAAGACAGTGTTATTTGAAATAGGGGACAATATTCAATTCTAACACAATAGGCTACATTTCATCACAATGCCCTACCTTGTACAACCCCATTCACTTTTCTTTGAACCAGTTGTTTTCCCTTTGCAAATCTGTGGATAGATGCAACTGCATTGGCAGATGATCATCCTGACAGTGACTGGTCGCTAGCTTTCAATAGAACAATGGAGATGCTCCATTCACTGTCCTTTGTCAGTGCCCGCGGCATTCACTTGCGAATCCGGCAAGATTATCCAGTGTATACAATCATTTCATTTCTAAGTATATTAGCTTCTTCAAATGCCAGAACTCAGCATTGCTTTCTACAAGAACACCAACATCACTGTCCTGATCATTTCATTATACAAATTATGTCTGGGATCAACAACGAAACGCCTTCTAACGCTCTCAAGCCCTGGCAGGTACGAGCCTTGGCAAAAGGCAGAACACCCTTGCCAGAAAGCCCTGGTTGCAGACCATGGCTGGAAACCAGCTCTACGCAAGACATATCTGGATCTGGACGGCAAGCTCTGGTGACTACAGGATCATTCTCTGCTTCAATTCCCTCAACTCCCGGAGCAGCCCTCTCCGTGTCGGAGGCTGAGACGGTAAGTGCCCAATCGCTTATGCCCATACATCCATCTCTGACATAGTCGCCATATGCAGAACAGCAACCCGGGCTACAAGTTCTGGAATCAAGACGAAATGAAGCGACTCATCGAGCTGAAGAGAGAGGGGAAGTCATGGAGAGATATCAGCGTAAGTTACCGTTCCGATTCACCCGCCCTTCCCATAAACATCCTGACATGCTATTTCTCAGGACCACTTCCCCGGGCGATCTGTTGAAGCACTCAAGCAGACATATCACAAACGAAGAGCAACTGCTGAAGAACAAATGCACCCAGTCGTCAAAGAAAAGGAAGATCAGGCGGTGGCACAAAAGCTGAGAAAGTAGAAAAACATAAAACCGTTCTCATAGCCAGTATCCTATGAACTCTTTGGCATTGTCCCATGTTTCCAAACAGCTTTCGCTAGTTTTTTTTATCTGTCATATTTCATGCTTTGTTTTTTGTCCATCAAGAGTTTAGAAAGCATACATTTCTCCTATGTCTGCTACTCCATGATAAAAAAACCCATAGATATTGTGCCACCCTTCCAGTCTTTCAATCACCAACCTCATCCCATTTACCGACCACATCAATAGTAACGTACCAACGGAACATGATGTTTCAGGACCAGCAACCTACCTACCCTATCCCGATATGCTGGCGAGATAAGATACATAATTGCCACCAATAGACGTAAGATTCGTCCTATGGTTGGCACCTACAAATTCAAACTGTAAAGGTCGTCATGGGCTTAATAACTTTATAATAACCCTAAGTTAAAGCAAGTCATCCGTGGTTCAAACTTAGAACACCAAAGCCGGAGCGCTCCAACAATTAACCGCGTGTGTCTTCCGCCGGCTCCACTTATCACCCGCCGAACCTCCCCCACATTGCACAGTCATGACCCTCTGGGTTCCGCGGGGTATGGTGTTGTGCGAACTTCATCCCTCCTAAACTTTACAGATCTCCCTTTACCTTTTTCTTGGACAACTGTGCAGCTTATATTATTCGTTTTCAATTGCATTATTTTGAATATCATTTTTTGTCTTGTTCCAACTTCTCTACAAGCCGCCACTACTGCCCGCCATGGATGACCAATTTGGAGGGCGTACCGACGATGATCTCTTCTACGACGACTTCGAACCTGTCGAGAGCGAGACCGTCGTCACTACTGAAAACGTACCAGAACCCCAGCCTACGCCTATAGCACCGGTTCAGGAACCACTCGCTCCTCAAGAGAAGCCAGCGCCAGCGCCAGCTCCCGCACCATCGGCCCCCGCCTCAAAACCTGCTGGCCTCTCTTCCTCACGATACGCCGATAAGCCAGTTCCCCCCAAACCCGCAAAGCAAGCTCCCCAACCAACATCCAATGCGCCTCCCAACGCCCCAACAGCTCCTCGCGAGAAGAACAACCATGGTTCGCAAAACACCGCCGCCAATTCTGCAGCTCGTCTGCAATCGGGCGCAAACCCGCGACAGAAGCTCACCGACGAAGAACTCGCTGCCAAGATGGAAAAGATGAAGCTCCTAAACGCAGAGAAGGCGCGCAAGTTTGAAAAGGCCGAAAAGGATGAGAAGGATCACGCTGCGGCGTATGCTCGTGGCATGGAGGAGGCCAAGAAGCGCCGCGCCGAGGAAGCTGAGCGACGCAAACGTGGCGAAGAGGATAAGCGCAGGCTTGATGACGAACGTGCTAAGAACAGAGAGCGGAAGCTTAAGGCTATGGGTATGAAGGAGGGTGGATGGGATGAAGGTAAGGATGCTCTTGACGAGGAGGAAAACAGACGTTTCCGTGGCGCAAATGGTGGTATCCGAGGATCGAGAAGCTCCGGTCTTGGTGGAAGTCGGTACGCTTCAAAGGATAATGAGGAACATGACGTGGATCGCTTCTTGGACGAGCGACATCGTGGTGGAAGGGGTAGGGGTCGTGGCCGTGGAGGACGAGGAGGCCGAGGTGGACGCGGTGGCCATGAAGGCGCACCACCAGCGCCAGTCAAACAAGCCGTTCCCGCAGCCGAAGGCTTCCCTGCTTTGCCCGGCGAGGTCAAGAAGAGCGCACCCGCACCAACGAGCGATAAGCCGGCTTTTGCGGCCGCGGCAGCTGGACCTCCACCACCACTGCCACCACCCACTGGCGGAAAGTGGGATGAAGAGATGGATGAGTACGATGAACTGAACAAGAAGTCATGAACGAACTAGAAGAGATGGGACACTGGGCATAGCTTGAGGTGGGGTTGCAAAAATACCATAGGTAGCATTATTAGAAAAGAAAGTCGAAGCGAGATTGAAAGAATTCTCCTTATTTCTATTTGCCTTTTGGCGCTGAGCTGCTTTTCTAGAAAGGGTATTATCCTGCTCTCCGCCAACTCTTTCATTCTTCTTTCCGTCCATTTTATACACAGCGCCAAACGCCTGAACATTCCAGCAAATAATTACACATTGATTACCATCCTCCACGGTATCCCCTTCCACCGCGGCCACTCCTGTATCCCGAACCTCGAGGTCCTCTAGGCCCACCAGGTCCATCGTCGTCCATAGGCGCCCTCGACCGGCCCTTCATCTCCTTAGGGAAAGCATCGTAGGTCTTCCTCATCTGCGCATATCCCAGATGCATCTTTCCGTAGAAGTGATCGGCGAGACGTCTGTCGTTATCGAGTCGACTGAGGTAGGCACCGCAAACATCGCAAACTTGCAGCTTCTGGTGGCCTGAGGGGCCAGATGTATCGGATAGAGCTTTGAGCTCCTTTTCGCGGTCGGATTTGGATTGTGAGGCTTGACGGACGCGGAAGAGCTCATCTTGGGCGCGAGAAACCTCGCCCATGGAGCCTAGGATTTCGACTTCGAGGAGGCCGTTGTTGATGGAAGCTGAAAGATCGGAAATAGATTTGAGCTACGTAGGTCAGTATCTCGCACCGCAAAATCAGGGATAGGGACGTACCAAAACATTGGTCTGGCGAATCTCATCAGGTGTCTTCTCTAATCTTCTCTGCGCAGCATCGATTCGGCGGTTGCAATCATCAATGTACTTTTGTAGATCGCGCATATAATCGTACTCGAATCCATATTTCTGCTTCTCCCGATCTGACAGGCCATCATACTCCGCTTTCAACCCTTCATTATGCACCTTCGGACACGGTCCAATGTCCTGCTTTGTGTTTGTGAAGAGATCGTGTGGACAGGTGCCTGCGAGATATGATCGGCAAACTTTGGGGTCGGTGAGTGATAGTTGAGCGGCTCGTGACGTCGAGGATGCTCCCATCAGCTGCTCGAGCAGCTTTCTCTGTTCAGCGGCCATTGTGAATACGTCGTTGGCAGATGTTGAAAGTTGGCGGGGCCTCAAGATTCAAGATGCGACGGTATGTGGAGGAACGCGCCGGGAAGCTAACTTTCTGCCAGTATCCACCGCTTACCTAATCGAATCCTCCACGTCGCAATAGCTACCTTATCCAAGCTACGACACCAAATCGATCTCCCAAGGGCAAAGGTGCCATGTGAAGTCTTGATCGACTTCCACACTCCTTCACCCTGTTGCTTCAATATGCGCCACTTTCTGGCCTATCTGTTACTGGCCATAACAAATGGCTTTGCACTCACTTCTGCAGCCGCATCCGGTTATCACGAGCAATTGACGCTTCGACCTTTACCCCTGTCCCAGCTTCTAGCGAGCTTCAACTTCCGAGCCAATACATCGATTGCCGATTTTGAAGCGCATAACTTTCGACTGTTTCCTCGATCATTGGCGCAGATACTTCAGTATGCTGGAACACGAGAGCTACATTTACGATTTACGCTAGGACGATGGGACGCTCAATCCTGGGGTGCTAGACCGTGGGATGGAACACGCGAGGGAGGCACTGGCGTTGAACTCTGGGCGTGGTTAGATGCTGAGACTGATGAGGAGGCTGACGAAAAGTGGTTGACGCTCACAAACGCTCTGTCGGGATTGTTCTGCGCCAGTTTGAACTTTATCGATGAGACGAGAACGATTCGACCTGTTATGTCTTTCCAGCCCGACGGTGACCACTCGAACTCGTCGCTTGCGAACATGAGACTTCTTCATGGTGTTTTACCGCATGAAGTTGTCTGTACTGAGAATCTGACACCTTTCTTGAAGTTGTTGCCGTGCAAGGGCAAGGCTGGTATTGCTACACTTCTGGATGGTCACAAACTATTCGATGCCTCTTATCAGAGCATGGCGATTGATGTTCGACCCAAGTGCAATGCGGATGGGGAGTGCTTCTTGGAGATGGAGGAGACTGTGGATATGGTTCTTGATGTCAATCGATCCAAGAGGCCTCAAAGTATGTCCCTTAAATCTGTTACATGAACCCTCTAACAGCACTAGACAACCCGATTCCGCGACCCCCTCCCGCTCACGAGCTGCTCTGCGATACCTCCAAATCCTACCACTCTGACCACGCATGCTACCCCGCCGACAGTCTCGACGGTCAAGATTGGACTTTATCTCAAGTCTTCGGTCGCCCCATGAAGGGTACATGCCCTCTTACCGACCCCGATGTTCCTCCAGTCTGTGTTCAGATCCCCCAGTCCCGCGACATCTACACCACCGAAGGCGCCCGCGAGATCCGATCCCAAAACTCTCGCTGCTATAGTCTTGATACAAGCACCGAACTCACCCTCATGCTCGTCAAGCCCGAATCACAAGACGAGGACAAGATCCTTAATAAGCCCGAGACGCCTCTTCTCTACGCTGATCGCAGCTTCAACGGCCACGGCCAGGAACACGGTGGTGTACAAGCCATCTTGAGCAACCCTAGTGACACCGACGTTGAGTTCGTCTATATGGAGTCGCTCCCATGGTTCATGCGTATCTACCTTCACACCCTCTCGGCCCGTATTGCCGATTCGCCCTCGTCGAACTCGAGCGATCTGATCAAGGAGATCTACTACCGTCCCGCACTCGACCGCGCAAGGGGTACACAGCTTGAACTCCTCATGCGCATTCCGCCGCACTGCACCGTTTTCCTGACATACGATTTCGAAAAGTCCATTCTGCGATACACCGAGTATCCTCCTGACGCTAACAGAGGTTTCGACGTCGCCGCTGCTGTCATCACGACATTAGAGCCCAAGGTTCTCAACATCCGCACTACGACACTGCTGCTATACCTACCCACACCTGATTTCAGTATGCCATACAACGTTATTATCTTCACATCAACGGCGATCGCACTAGCATTTGGGGGATTGTACAATATTTTAGTCAGGAGGTTTGTGGGAGCCGATGAGGCGCAGAGCACAGGTTTGAAGGCGAAGCTGTTGGGTTTTGTTAATAAAATAAAGGGCAAGGCTGGGAAGCAATAGATATGATGTATGAGCTATTTTCTTGGTCACAATGCAAGATGTTACTGTTACCTACTGTGGTCATCTTCAGCTAGCATGGTCCTGCGATCCGATTACATGGCCTTGGGGGAGTGATCACGAATGATGGTCAACGCAATCAAATGTGTTCTCGGTCTTACCGGCTTGCCACTTCGACCCTGCATTGTCCTTGTCGAAGCATCATGGGGCCGCGTCATTAGATCTGGGGAACATGGACACGAACTTATCGCATCTCTGTTGAGGTTCCAGATGACGAGTTGAGGTGTACATGTGTTCAGGGTCCTGGGGTTAGGCTGGAGGGAGTCTGGGGGGTTGTCCACGGTGTTAGCGTCCCTTGGGAGGATGTAGTCAAGGCCGCCACGACTCTGATATGAAGAATGGCTCAGGTCTGCACGTGGAGTGGAAGACGAAGAGGGGAACCTCGTTTGACAATACGACAAAGCTTTGGAGGTTTACAATACCTAGTCAAGATGAAAAGAGATAAGAACTGTTTACGGCATATTCTGATCATATCTTCTTCGAGGCATCTCCGCGAGACGTAACCGAGATAAGAAGGCATCAAGTAGAAAAGGTTCGGGCCTTCCTCCCTTTCTCAATTATCTATATCTCGTCCAATCCATCAGCGTTTGCCAAGATCTTCCATGCCCAACATCGTCATATTATAGCAACCGGGCTGCTGGCTTCTCGTATTCCATGTCAACACATAAATGCGCCTCGCGCAATTCGCAACCATGAGACTCTTCCCTTTACTCCTCTTGGCCATCGTTGCCGTGAATGCCTACTACACACTCTCTGTCTACGCTCCTTCGCTTCCCCAGATTCACGCGCGCATCATCAATGCAAGGAATAAAGCCTTCATCATCGGCGCCACGAAACCCAGCACGTTCTGCGGCCTTGACAATGCTACCGAATGCCCCGATGGCACTTCCACGCAAGTCGATGGAAACATGACTGGCCTCGCAGTAAGTCATATCGTCATTCTCCAAGCCCATGCTTACGGCAAAAGGCCGCAGTTCCAGGCGGTCAATTCATCTTCGTCGCCCCCGACGGGATCGTATCCTACCCGCCCGCACACTCTGCCCTTCGACCCCCCGGCTCACAAATGGGTGGCTTCCAGCGCGCACATGTCATCTCAGAGTGCAAGATGCCTGTCACGATACTCATGTGGTCCCCGGAGAACGCAAGTCCGGGACTTTGGGCTTGCCCAACGGCGAGGAATGTCCCAGTCACGAAAGAAGCGGTCCTCAAGGCGACGACGAGCACTTTTACGGGAAGTGGCTGTTTGACTATTGAGGGGATTGAGATTCAGACTGCAGGGGATAAGTTCGCTGCGTGGGCTTACACGTAGAGGGAGTTTGGAGGATGTGACAGGTAAATGGTAGGATGATGTGGATGATAGTCAATAGAGAACATTATATCCCTGTTTTCTACTTTGTAACATTTTCGTAAATGTAAATCTCAAGTCCGCCATTGTCCTTCCTCATCTGAAGTGTCCCTCTACTTGACATCAGTACTAAGTTATCCTCATTGTAGGGCATTTGAGCCGCCCCAACTACCTGAGTACCTACCGTGAGCAGTTACTTCTTTCGACACACTCGGTCAATATTACCCTTCCTTCCACTTTAAAGATAGAAGTCCCGTGAAACTGTACAATCTTACCCTTGTTTGATGGAATTCATGATGGCATACCTCCACTAGTCCTGCACCCCGCAACTCTGTGGCTGCATCTTGTGTCCAGCTGCCCTGATAGCACGTCCGACTGGGTAGTGTCTCGCCGGAATCTTACTGTTTTCGGCAAGAAGCTAAGATCTGTTGTCGGAGGCATTTTCCATGTGTGTAAGTGGCTGCCAATCATGAAGCTATGTCCTCCTCGTGTAAGTGATAAAATGACGACCTCCCACGAGTGTCTGATCACTTCACATCAATTCAATTGCTGCCAGACTGATTTCCTGCACTATGGCCCAGACTGCGACCCAAACTTCTCTGCATGCTTTTAGAGAGGGATATCTCGTCAATGATGGAATTCTTGAGTCTAGCATGATTGGGAAGCTCAAACAGTCCTACCCATCTGAGCCGATCGAAGACCTGAGAGCCCGCTATGAGAAGGATGGCTATCTCTTCATGAAAGGACTCCTCCCCCGCTCTGACGTTCTGGGTTGCCGGGAAGCGTACTTCCGTTTCCTCAGCCCAAGTGGTGTTCTGCAACCAAATTCCGCTCCCGTTGATGGTATCTTCGATCCTGATAACAAGGGTGTCAACTATCCCAGTATTGGCGCTGGCCCTTTTGGTAAAGAGCAGATCAACCCAGGTTCATTCGCGAGCCTTGCGGAGAAAGCCCATACAGAGGAATTTTACCTCGAGTTTTCGAGACATCCAGCCTTGAGAGATTTCGTTTCCGGGCTGAAAGGCTGGGGCGATGATACCAAATTACTCCCAAGATCATTGTTGAGGAACAATACGCCACATAACAATGCCATTGGGGTGCATTATGATCAGTCGTTCTTGCGATATGGAGAATCTACTTCAGTGACAGCTTGGGTACCGATCGGGGATATCAGCCGTGAAGGCGGTGGGTTGATATATCTTGAAGGCAGTGAGTCTGCTTCCAAAGCACGGAGATGCCCAAGCTAACCACTAAAGGCGACACTCTAGGTCGAACATTAGAAGATGCCTTCAACAAAAAGGCAAGGGAAGGCGGCATGAGCGAAGAGGAACGCATCAACGCATTCAACAAGAACATGATGTCCAATGGTTTCTTGGAACTCGGCCCCATCAAGTTTCTACAAGACAACGGAGGTGGAAGATGGCTTTTGACAGAGTATGAAGCCGGCGATGTTGTTTTTCACAAACCACATATGGTGCGTATCTGCGATACTGAGATGAAGCCCTGCTGATTTTGGACAGATTCACGCTTCAACTATCAATAAGGACCCCGAGAATCGTATTCGACTTGGGACGGATTTGAGGTTTGTCGATTCTTCAAGACCTCACGATACGGTACGTGATTCCTATCCATAAAAAGTCGGACTAACCGTGAGGCAGAGATGGTCTGCACCTTTTCGGCTTGACGATGGGCTGTGAAATGCTGAGTCGAGGCTGTGGGTTCAACTTTTGACGTCATATCAAGACTTTTCGTGAGAATCGGTCGATTAAGTCAGTTACATCAACACGGAGAAATATCACATGTATGTATCAATGGCAAAAACATAACAATCGTTCTCCATTTTCGTTTTTGGATATCTAAATCGCTACTAAAGTCAAAGACATAACCATTGTCGATTGGTACAACTAAAATACAAACATGCCGTTGCGCTCGATGCTCGTTAAACCTAGGACTTTGTCAACCACATTCATAATTCGTCAAGGCTACAAGTCAAGACGTACCTCCTGCACCGGCTTCACAGTGACGACCTTTGTCTTGGTCATCTTTCCTCCTCTGTAGCTGTACTGGAAATTCCACCCACTGCACGCAGCACCGTGGTTTCCGTACCGATCTACAACGACGATGCCGCTCTTGAGATCGCCGTACTTGCGAACCATGCGGAGAACAGCATCCTCGGCTGCTTCTTTGGGCGAGAGGCCGTTTCGCATGCCTTCGATGGCTTGGTAGCATGGGAGGAAGCGAAGCATGATGTCGCCGTCACCTGTAGCTCCGCAGCCGCCAATGTCGCTGTCGACGTAAGAGCCGCTGCCCACGATGGGGCCGTCGCCAACGCGTCCAGGGATCTTGTGGGAGGCGCCGTTTGTTGTTGTTCCTGCGGCCATGGAGCCGTCTTTGTGGATTGTGATGAGAGAGAGGGTGTCGTGACCGGTTTGTTTATTGGTTTTCATGGTGCTTGTTGTGAGGGTGGCAAGAGGCTTGTAGGGACCGCATGTTGATGCTGGGTTTGGGCTGACGTTGATGCGATAGTTGGGCTGGCACTTCTTGGCCTTCCAGTCCTTGCACAGCTTATCCGAGTTCTTGGTGGACAGGCTTGTGGTCTTGAAGCCGTTTTGGATAGCAAACTCTGTAGCTTGGTCTCCGACGATGAGAGAATGGGTAGTATGATCGAGAACATGTCGAGCAACAGAAATCGCACTCTTAACGCGACGCAGAGCAGCAACAGCTCCGGAATTCATGCTTCCACCATCCATGATCATCGCATCAAGTGTAGTTTCACAGTTCTCATCAGGACTTCCTCCAAAGCCTACGCTCCCATCGCACTGCTTGTTCTCGCACGTCGTACCTCCAATTTCAACCGCGTCAAGTGCAGAAGCCTTCTTCCCCAGCGCGGTGAAGGCCGCATCGGTAGCGGCGGTGAAATCGCCGCCCCATGTATTAATAACAAGAGGAAGACCAGGTGTATTACCCGCCGCGAGTGTAAGCGTTGACAGGGAGAGAACTCCCATGAAGATAGAAAGAGAAGACATTTTGCTGGTGCTGTTCGATGACGATGGTGAAAATTGGCAGGGAGAGTGGCGTTTCTTATACGACGTTTCGAAACAGACGCTTTTGATAAGCGTGGTACGGGCTGTGAACCTTGTAGGACGCTATAACCAATTGTTTCACAGACCGGCACTCGATAGCTAATTCAGCCTGTTTCAATGCAATGTGATAGTAGAGGAGCTGCAGGGATGGTTGCTTACGCGTGACCAACATGAGACCGTATTTAAACCCCTCATTCCAATCTCACATTCCATTCCAACCTCTCTTTTTGTTTTTAAACTTCAATCTTTGTGAAATTCACATGCCAAGAGGACAAGATTAACAGGACTTTTGCATAATAGTTTAATAAATTAAACCCGCTAGCTGCACCATTACAAGCTTATAAAATGGCTGCACGCGCTAACGTTGACACTGTATCTGAATTCCTCGCTAGGGCTGTTGATGTGTGCCATGCTGTGCGAGGGATACACTGTCTGGGATATACAGATCGCTGTGATACCGACTTTGCTCGCTTGCTCGAGGGGTTGACGCATTCGGTGAAGCGTGTTGAGGGTGAAGAGGGAGAATACGAGAAAAGTCTGATCAGGTTTGCCTGTGTTCAGATTGGTAATGACCTCGTCGTCCACGTCAACCGTGTCTTGAACGCGTTCAGTGATTCAATTGATGTCGCTGGCTTCTGCAAGCTTTGGCCCCTGGACGATGTCACGGCGCTGAATGCACGGCTCCGTCAAGTGTTGCATCAATGCCAAGACACTTTTCCATCGTCGCAGTGAGTTTAGTTGACTTTACTGGTTGCTCTCCAGGAGCTAACGGTGCGCTAACGTGTTGTTGCTAGTGAACTCTGTCTACCCTTGCTCGCTGATTTACAGCTCACAAGCCGTGACCTTGAGTCTGAAGAGACTGAGACGGAGAGTCCAATTGAGCACACGGAAACAACTGCTCAGGATGATGCTGGCAAATCTCCCGGGCAGATCTCGGTTATCCCGAGACCCCCGAGGCTAGCTTCCGTCGGCCTTATCAATGACTTCATTCTCGAGAGTCTGTCATACAAAAGTATGCATGATCGCGAGAGTCAAGTCACTGAAGCTCACGCCAAGACTCTTGATTGGATCTTTGACAATTCGCCCATCAACGAATCTCTGCGTCAGAGCTTCAGAGACAGCTTCGTCTCATGGCTTAGCACCACGGAGCTGGGTCCTACCTACTGGATCACTGGAAAACCCGGGTCTGGTAAATCCACGCTCGTGAGATACCTCTCCCAGCATCCAGTTGCGCTGTATCACCTTCGTAGATGGGGCGGGAAGAAGAGGGTCAATACAGCGGGCTTCTTTTTCTGGACCAGTGGATCTCAGCAGCAAAGGTCGCAAACTGGCCTGCTGCGATATCTTCTCCATCAGCTGCTGTCCTCTGATCCAGAGCTCATTGAAAAGGCATTTCCTGATCTCTGGAGTCGCTTGCGACAGATGACGACCAAGGAACGAGTCAACTTTGCTCTGGAATGGACTGTTCAAGAATTACAGGCTGCCTTCCACTCTCTTCTCGACGCGGCTTTACCTAACGTGAATGTCTGTCTCTTCATCGACGGTCTTGATGAGTTTGATGGCGACCATGTCCAAATCATCAACTTCTTCAGGGACTTAACATCCAGATATGATGGAAAGTCACTCAAACTCTGTCTCTCATCTCGGCCATGGGATGTCTTTGAAAAGGCATTCGAAACGTCTGTTCCAAATACCAAGCTTCAGGATCTGAGTTACGACGATATGTACCGCTATGCAGCAGATACACTGAGAACGAATGACCATATTCGAAGAATGATGAAGCAGAATCCGGATTCGACTCATCTGTTAATCACTACAGTAGTTGAACAGGCTAACGGAGTTTTCTTATGGGTTAGACTCGCAGTTGAGCGTATGCTCGTAACATCTCAGAAGAACTGCGAATTCGAAGTCTTGGAGACAACTCTGAAAGAACTCCCAACAGAACTTGATGATCTCTTCGAAAAGCTACTGTTCAAGGATCAGGCATCCTCGGAGATCATGCAGACTGCCACTCTATTCCAGCTCATGCGGGCCAGAGAAATCGTCGCAGGCTTTATCAAGGATGAGTCCTCCAACTCACTGACAGTCTGGGAACTCGCCTTTGCACTTTTCAAAGAGGATGATGTTGTGGCTCTCGATCGCGAAGTGTTGGAAGCGACAAATGAAGAAATTCAAAGACGCTGCGGAACGGCAGTACAGTATATCCAAGCTCGCTTCGCAAGGCTTTTGAACGTCCACGTTGCCAAGCCGACGGGTAATATGTGTGTACCAAAGTTCCAGGACAAGAACGCCAATATTGCAAGCCTCATCACGACTAGCAAGGTCATCTATATACACCGCACAGTTCGAGACTGGCTCATGGACGGCGGTGCAGGAAAGCGTCTTGAAGCACTCCAGTCTACAGATTTCGACTCTCATCTTCGACATCTGAGATCATATGTCCTTCGTCTGAAGCATCCTCTCGAAGAAATCGAGCATCATCGGCGTTTAGATGAGTGGTATCCTGATATTGCACTCGCCATGACACATGCTCGATATATCATCAGAGATCCCCAAGGCCTTCAGCGGAAGTTCCTGAATGAGATGGATAAAACTCTTTCTTGGTTCTGGCTTGGGAAGCCTTCTGATCCATATGATCATTGGGCAAAGAGTACGTTCGGGGCTTATGAGATCAGGATGAAAGCGCCTCCTATTCATCGGCCGTTTCTGTGTCTTGCCACCAAGTTCAGTCTAACAGATTATGTCTGTCAGGAAGTCGAGGACCTGAGTCGCGAAGAACCAGCAGTGGAAGAAGAGGAAGAGGATGGGTCAACACCTTTACTCTCCTACGCGACAAAATTTCTCTGCTCTCGTAGCAAGACCATCTTCCCCATGTCATCGCCCCAGCTCGTCCGTTGGCTTCTCAACAACCCATCACGCATCAACCCAGGTCCCAATCATGGATACAAACACTTCATCACACACCAGTCAATTACTCCATGGCTAGCTGTTCTTCGTCATCTTCGTGATGCAAAGCGTAGGGGATGGATTGAGTACTACGATGTCAACCCTGAAGGAACTGCACGCTGGGCTGAGATTGTAAGGGAGTTCGTGCAGTTTTCGGATGTCAGAGCTGTGGTTTTGAAGGATATGTGGGATGCAGAAATCACTGCGTTGGGGGTCATGGAGATGCTGGAGCAAACCTACGGTTCTGCCGAGGCGCAGAGGATCAGGGTATTGATGGAAAAGAAAATGGTTCGGTAAACGTGTTGCTCAATATCACTTCTACTTTCTCTGAATCCATGCATGTTTATATTTCCTATATCCATTTATATCCGGTATAGAAGATAAGAAACCGAAACATATTCAATAATTTTTCATATCTTCGTTCGAAAACCTCTAGTAGCCTTCCTTCCGGTTGACTTTGTTGATGAAATCGTTTCGTCCCTGACTCAGCCTCTCAAGGTTCAATCTAAAAATATCCAGCAGCCTCGTATAGTAAAATGAGGAAGCAGAACTGATATGTGGCGTAATAGTCACATTCTTCGCACTCCACAGTGCATGCTGATCCGGCAAAGGCTCAGGATCAGTGACATCAAGCGCCGCACCCTTGATAGTCTCCGAATTAAGCGCCTCGATGAGATCATCGGTATCGACGATAGGTCCTCTCGCAATGTTAATCAGGAAAGTCCCCTTCTTACCGAGAATTTCAAACTCAGGCTTTGAGATCAATCCCTTCGTCTTGTCGGTCAATGGCACTGAGATGACAAGGATGTCCAGTCCTGAATCAAGAAATTCGTGGATCTCTTCTTTGGATCCGCCGGAGAACCATTTGCTTGGGAATTCACCCTCTGGATCACCGAGGCCAGGGGGCGTGTAGGAGTCATCGCGGCGAGACTCTGGGGTGTTGCGAGGGTGAAGGGTGTAAGCGTGAACGTCTAGGCCCAAAGCTTTCGAGAGACGGGCAGTTTGACGGCCGATACTACCGTAACCTAGGATGCCACTGTAGACTGTTAGTCGAAATTATTTATGTGCGAGAGTATGGGTTCTGACATTCGCTTGCCAGCTGTATCTTCAGTATCTTCAGCGCCCTGATGAAGACGCTTCCATTTTCCTTCATCTTGAAGCTTCGAGTACTCCTTTACTATCGAACGGTGAGCCAGAGTTTCTAAAAAGAGCAATCGCACGCCCTACAGTGAAGTCGATGAGATAGATAAGTAGTTATAATCCACTCGGCAATTTGAGGTCTATCAATTAGCCATGGTCTGAAATCTTGCAAGGCTGTCTCACCCATGAACCCCATTAGCGGTCGAGAATGGAATCTTTGTATCCGTAAAGAGGGGATCCTTGATGAGATGGTTGGCACCAGCACTCGTGAGCTGAATGTATTGCAGATGCGTCGCCTGCTCTGGCTTTGGCAACAAGGTAGCAGTCAGTAAGACAGTAGTCTCCTGCCACTCTTCTTCCTTGAAACTTGGATCGAGAGGTGCACCCCATGGTTGAATAAAAATCTTGATGGTCAAATCAGGGAACTGTTTCTGAATAGCGTCAATCTGAGCCTGGGGTAAATCAACGGTTGAGAAGATTATGGCCTTGTGGCCCTTGAGAGTTTTGTTGTTGCTAACCCTGATGAGCGTCATGATGAATTATTTGATAGGGAAAATATCAACTAGAAAGTTGAGTTGGAGGATTGAACGATAATCATGAGTGAATATTGAGTCTAGAGGATGACAAATAGACATCCATGGTGTTGTTGTCGTCAAGGTGGGGCTGATTGACGCCTTGAGATAAGGATGGATCTGAGTGGATTGATATTGCGATGGAGAGGTTGCATAGTGCCGATGTTGTCATTATAGTCTCGGAAACGAATTGCAACTCGACTGTATATGGACTCTGAACATATAGGTTTTGGGTTTCACAACGTTAACTGATTGAGTTTATGAGGCTGACTTGTCTTTGAATGGACTACCCTATACTGCCTCGGAAACAATGCCGAACTTGCGCTCTACAGTCTGCTTGGTTATGATAAAACATTGTTGCAATTATACCTAAGATCTAAATACCCATAAAATTGTTATATGAAATTTTAAAGAATTTATGCTGTTATGCTATGCCAAATTTTGACACTCAGAATTCTGATGTGCCATCCGATCAATTACCATGAATTGCTAGCAATCGCCTCCAGAGTCACAGCTATTCCACCATGCTGGGATTCTCTTGAACATCAGCAGAGCCATACTGAGTAATTCTGCCATAGAGCCAGTAAAGTGGAAGAAGCTAGACAATAGGCATAATTACTACGTTCCAATAAATAGAAATATTTGACAGGTTTCCGTTCTTTCAGCCCAGCCAAAATCCGTGGCTATGCCCACTAAACGGCTCAGCCCTACAGGCAGCCTACGCTAATACCACCCACTAACCCTGCAGGCCCGTTGGCGGTGGCAGAGACCAGCAGCTGAAAACGCGCCCAATTTCCAGAACCTCGGAACGACTTCACATGGGCAACCCAGTGCCAAAAAGACCAGCAGCTGAAAACGCCTTGACGGCAGCCCAGACGCTTGAGATGACTTCAAATACTAGCCCCCCCCCCTACCTGAGGTCGAGGCGATCATCACCCGAAATTTTACGAAATGCCTCACGCCGTGCTACCAGATCTTGCTGCATTTAATGAAAGTCTTCTCAATCCTCTTCCGGCGTACTCAGCCATCGACAATGACGACCTTCTAAACCGAATCGAAGCCACTGAAAACGTCGAACTCCCTATCCTCCGCTCTCCCGCCAGTCGCGCGCCGAACTTCCAGCATCTTGCCTCCAGTGCAGAGAGGGAATCGTACCTTGAAGCACACCGACTCGAATGCGACATCGTTAAGGCCTTCTTCTCCGCTATCGAGAACGGTCACGATGACATTGTCGCCGACTTTATAGCTCGTGGGTGGGTGTCGCCTGATACTGCAAGCCGATGGGGCGAGACGCCATTAAATGCTGCTGTGCGCGTGGGCAAGGTTCCCATGGTGAGCCGCCTCGTTGCTCTTGGCGCAAGCGTCAATGGGTTCGGTCGCGCATGGGATGGGAATACTGCCGTCAACGCTGCAGACTTGCCTGAGCGTACGCCGCTGATGGTCGCTGCCGAACGTGGGCATCTGGCGTTGGTCAAAGTCTTGATCCAAGACTACGGCGCGAAACACGACATTATTGCCCCTGATGGAGCGATCGCCCTTCGTTTAGCTGCCTCGAACCGTCATCGCGAAATCGTACATTATCTCCCTACTATTCGCGGCGGCGCGTGGAAGCGATGGGCGACTGTACATAAGAAGCAAATGGACCGAGCCCGACGAGCTGTCAATAGAATCGTCAAATTCGTCAGAATCCTTATCTGGGACCTTCCCAAGCTTTTGGTCTGGGATGCGCCGAAAGAGATATGCCGTGCTGCTTGGAGGCGTCGTCATCGGGTGAAGACCTTTTTTAAGCAGTTACCGGGCAAGGCCAAGGACGCGATACTCGGGATACCTAGCACCCTCAAACGCGCTGCAACAGAGGCTTGGAAGGGCATTAAGGAGCTTCCGTCGCTTCTAAAGGGCTTGGTCAAGGCCCTCTTCAAAGTATTTTGGAAGGTCCTGACAGGCATACCTGGCGCGGTGATGTTCGTTCTCAAATGGATCGGAAACGGATTGAAGGGCATCGGCGAGGCCATCCTCAACATTTTCGTTAAGCTGTTCTCGCTCCTACACACAGCGACCATGGCACTCGTGACTTTCCTGCGTGGAATCACTCTTGGGGATGTATGGAATGGCTTCTGCCATCTCGTACGCGCCATCTTCGTAGACGCGCCCAAAGCAATCGGCGCATTCCTCGTGGCCTTTGGAAAGACCAGCTACGATGTGCTCAAAACAATCTTTGGCACCCTGGGTGAGTGTATCTGGTGGCTGTGTGCGGGAGTTTACTGGTTGATTCGGTATATTCCGCGTCGGATATGGACAATGATTGAGGCGATGGGGACATCTTTGGTGAAGGCCTGGGAGGAGATCATGGTGTTTCTCAATCCCAAGCGAATGTGATCAGCTTCTTAAAACTCTAGATTGTACTAAAGGAAATTCACCAACGAGTTAATTGAGCGACATCAACAATCAACACTGACTAGAAGATCGATAAGCTGCTTTCACACCATTATAAGAGTGGTTCCCGATCTGAAGACTGGCAGTGGAGTCCCGAATTTTAGGGATATCACCACGTTCTTCAGGCTAGGGAAAACTCAAGGCCTTGACCCTAAGCAATAAGATATTATGTAATTTAGTCTAAGTTTAGGGTTCTTTTTACTCGGTTTATTCGAAATGTTCTTTTCTTGCTTGCCTAAGTTAGCAGGACATCATCAACCGTCGCGCGATGCGTCCACCTTCAACGTTCGTGCTACTATTAGTAGCATGCTGAACAAGAAGGATCAATCATTCATCGTCGACATTATCGAGACACTAAAACCACGATTAACAAGTTTATCCGATCCAACCGGTGCTATGATAATAAGGCCTTCTTAAGAAGCGGTATGTGAGCTCATATCGTTTTACGTATCTGTCGCTACGGTATAATTCATTGAAGCCACCCTAGACTTCTAGAACACCACAATTAAGTAATGCGCTGGGGTACCATCCCTCCCGACTTATGCGATATTATTCTTTATTGGTCTACCTATATGTGATCTTTGCTATCATTCTTTCGTAAAAGTTCGGCATTTCCTTTCCAGCGTTCCATGCCCATATTTCTAACCTGACCCTGCTCCGGCATAATTAGTGGTGTATTATAATTCCGTGTCATTTCTCCGTAATCCATCAAGCAATCGACGCCACGTTTATCGCGAATGCATGTCTATACTTCCGCCATATATCGGCTTTGCCTCGAACTCCTTGCGTTCATTCTCTCAGCCTCAGCGTATTGGCTCCGTCTTGAGTCTCTCGCCTCAGCTCTTTCATCATTACCCTCCCAGCCCGCCTTGATAAGCCAGAACAAAGCCATCAAAGGCGTCGTAAGCAAACCTAGGACGCCGCCAAGAACCGCTTTGAAAGCCTGTGGTGTCCAGCGGTCTTTGTATCTCCAGTCCCCACCATCGCGTTCTCCAACTGTCGTTAGAACCCCCACGCTCAGTGGCCAGAGGATAAAGAAGCCCACGACAGCGAGGATAAAACCTCTTAGTGCCCCTTGTACGATTGTCGTCAGTACAGGAGGAACCGTGGGTCTTCTCTGAGGCTCTTTCTCTTCAACTTCGGAATCGCCTGGATCAGATGCTGGTGGCAGGAAGAATAGCCATCGAAGCCACTGATGCGAGGGCTCAGGAACAAAGCCAATCGGCTGAACAGAGCGTTTTGAGAGGTCGTAACTGACGAGGCCCATCTCAACGAACCACGTGAGAATGCATTGGACGATAATAGTTACGGCTGCATCGCCCGATAGTGTGTTTGGCAGTTGAAACAACCGGATTGGGTTCTTGATGGTGTCTTGCGTGGTGTACATGACTATTCATCCATTCCCATTAGCTTTTCATCTCAAACTTCAGCTGTGAACTCACCATAAGCCAAAGCAAAATTCACACCCCCGGATAAAGCCATGGCGCCTATTCCATCAAGCCCAAAGACATAGAAGAGCTGATGCCCCGTAAACTGCAGACTCGGCTTCAGGCGCCCCTCGATGTCACTGTCATCTCCTCTCTGTTCTCGTTCCTCCTCGCCAAGGTTGTCAGGTTTCAGAATCCCGCTGGACCCCTGCACACTCGGCCCCTGTGTCTCAAGTTGCGCCGACATGAGCATATCTTTTCCCTTATTAGAGACGAACTCTTGGAAACTTGTTTGGTTTTGTTCCTATTTTTCCTGTCTTTGGTGGTTTTTGATGCACGGAAGTGGGAAATTTTAATTAAACGTCGCCAAGCTGTTGAAAGGGGGTTTAGGGAGATTAGGCGGGAAAAATGCGAAAGCTTGGACTTTTAGATGGGCGAGAGCGAGGAAAAAAAAGTTAATTAGCGAAAAAGAGTGAATGCGAATACTAATCCGAGATACTACACTAATTAATTAACTACGACTTTGTTGAGAGACTGGCTCACATGGCACCATTTTACACCGCTATCTGACGGGAGTCACGCGGTTGTCTGGCACTTGTTGAGAGACGGCAGTTGAAGATTATGTATGTGATGCAGGAAAAGCATAAAACTATACTGTTTCCCTAAAAGTTTATCACTGTAGAGTGGACCGACTGTTTGGTGTTTTGAAGGGTTATCGTGAAGCTCTTACGGTTTCACCACCGAATACCACCACGATCGGTTCAGTCGGCCCAAGAAGGCGGCTTACAACGCACAAGCCGACCTGTCAAGACCGTATTGATTGACGCCACCTGAGAATCTGGACCCTCTCGTCTCCATCGGTTAACTCATCCGTTGATTTAATCTATTCAGCGGTTAATAGATCCATCTTCATTCGTCTGGACTTGTACTGAGGGGGACATGTTGGAAGCGACGTCAGGAGAAGGGCAGAAGCAACTCCATCGTCTCAGGATGACTGACCCAAAGCTTGGGCCTGCAAGGGTCTAGAGATGGGGACTTGCGGAAAAATAAACACCGTTGACGTGACCCCTGCGGCGCTAAAGCAGGAACAAAAGAACGCTTGTGTTTTTCCATCTTGTCTTCTGCCCCAGTTTCAGGTACAGCGGTTCTTCGGCCGAGATGGACTGCTCGCTTGCAAGACGGGCTTGTCACTTCGCTTGGGACGGTGTTGGCAGTATTCAACTGAATGACCGTTCTGCCATTTCTTGGCAATAATCAATCTTACTTTGGCCATCTACACACTATCGTGAAGATCCAGATGCTAGCCTCGACTTATACCGTCGGTAAAATGCGACTCTAAACTTTAATATACTATGAAAATCACTGTAATACTTGCATGATCTGCTCATATCTCGATCAATCATATCCATAAAACTACAGGGGCTGAAACCGCCTTGGCCAACACCATGCAGCCTTTGACCACCCTCATCCCTGATGGCATCTCGACCCGAGCATGACACCCCTGCCTCAATCTATCCAAGGCGGGAAACTGATCCGTTTAGCCATGAGGCTCTTTACCCGTCAGCTCAAGTCTCCAAACATTCATATAAACCGCCCTCTTCCTCTCCCCAAGATACTCTCTTTCTCCACTCAGGCTCATTCAGCAGTTCATTCCATTCACTTTTTGCTCCTTGCACATTCTTTCACGCTTCTTTGACAGAAGTCGTTTCATTCATTCATTCACTTCAACCGCCAGTCGGATATTACCACTCTTTACAAACCACAAGACCAACTTTTCTTACACAACCACCTTTTTCAAGATGCCTTCTTTCACCTCCAAGACTCTTCTCGCCGCTGTTGCCGGCGCCATGGGCGTTGCTGCCCACGGTCACGTTTCCTCCATCAACGTTGCTGGCGCCGTCTACGACGGTTTCGATGCTAGCTCTGCTCCTTACGACCAGAACCCCAAGACCCTTATCGCTTGGTCCACCACCGCTTCCGACAACGGTTTCGTCGCCCCTGATGCCTTCAGCACCGGCGACATCATCTGCCACCGCGATGCTAAGAACGCCAAGGGTCACGCCAAGGTCAAGGCTGGTGATCAGATCTATATCAAGTGGGATACCTGGCCAGAGAGCCACAAGGGCCCCGTCATTGACATGTTGGCCTCTTGCGGTTCTGCCGGTTGTGAGTCCGTCGACAAGGAGACCCTCAAGTTCTTCAAGATCGACGAGGCTGGTCTTGTCAAGTCCGGTAACCCCGGCACTTATGCTTCTGACGAGCTGATTGCCAACGACAACGGCTGGCTCATCGAGATCCCTGAGAACATCAAGCCCGGTTCTTACGTTCTCCGTCACGAGATCATTGCTCTCCACGCCGCTGGCCAGGAGAACGGTGCTCAGAACTACCCTCAGTGCTTCAACCTCGAGATCTCCGGCTCCGGCTCCGAGCTCCCTGAGGGTACCCTCGGAACTGAGCTGTACAAGTCCACCGAGAAGGGCATCGTCTTCGATCTCTACAACAGCCCTACCAGCTACCCCATCCCTGGCCCTGCCATGACCATCAAGTCTCCCAAGGTTACTCAAGGCAAGCTCGCTGAGAAGTCCAAGGGCACCCCCACTACTGGCTCTGGTTCTGGTTCCGACTCTGGCTCTGCCGCTCCCGAGACTCCCGCTCAGACTGAGGCTCCTGCCGCCGGTACCTCCGCTGCCGCCCCTGTTGCTACTTCTGCTGCCGCCGAGGAGCCTTCTGCCCCCGTTGAGACCTCCCCTGCTGCCCAGGAGCCTGCCACTCCTGTCCAGACCGAGGCTCCTGCCGCTACTAAGCCCGCCAAGACTGGCTGCAAGGCCAAGCGTGGCATGAAGGCCCGCCGTCACGCTCGTGACCTCATGAACTAAGCAAACCACTAAGTGTGGTTGTGTATGAAAGGTTTTTACAAGGACAAAAGCCTGTCTATCCTGAATGGGATGAATCTTTGAGTATTCTGCTGTATATATGTGACCTCGAGTCCAAGATATAATTCAATTACATTGATTATCATTTGATCTTACCCAATGCCTACGTGATATGTCTTCATATGATTCTCTGGTTTATTGTATTGCTGCTTCCTCCGAACTCAGACACAAGACACTCTGTCTTGTGACGTTGCCTTGGCTCTACGCCAACAGCCGTAGAAATGAACAACGCCATTGTCTGCATTCAATATGTCTCGTAGTGACACTTGCCCTGAAGTGTCTTTATTGTAAATAAAATAGGATAGGCATGAGAGGTCTCGAACTCATCGAAATCCCTAGTCACGTCTCTCCTCGCCTGTCTAAGGCTCTTGGCTGAGCAACGTGCCGTAATAACGATTTTAGATACATTAAAAACTATAGAAAGTTGTCACGGAAGTTGCTCATCGAGAGTATCAGCAGGATGAGGCTATAACCAGAGGAGTGCAACTCAGAACTGTATTGCTAGGACTGAGGTCAAAGTCATAATCGTAAGCATGATTTTAACTATGTACAGAGAATATTAAAGTATCGCAGCCCTAAAGGTCATTCGCGCGCTTCCCCTTCTCCTTGTCGTACTCCTCCAACCAGGCCTTGGTGAAATCAACAATATCCTGCTGAGCTTTGGCAACAGCGGGAGGAGGGAGCCCAATCTCAGTGGCGTTGGGGTCGAGACCGTTTTCATCCCAATGATGAACACCGTAGGGGATAAGGATGAATGGCTCGCTGGCAGTTGACTTTCTGGGAGCAAGACCGATCGCGTGAGGTGTAGCGGCTCTCCAAGGGTCGTATTCACCGTCGATGAATGCCACGCGTGGGTAGCTAAAGTTCCAGCCACCAAGCTTGTTGATAGACTCGACATCAGGTTCGGCAGTGATGTTGAATTGCTTGCGGCAGGGAATGGTGCTATACTCAACGTCGATGAGGCGAGAGACCAGCGGAAGCTGGTTCTTAGGCACACCGGAGCCAGTTTGCCAGTATCCCCATTGTGTGCATGTCTGATAGGTCCACTGACGTCCACTGGATGATGGGTTGAGACTAGTGCTGCCATACATTTCGCGAATAGAGTAGCATTCATCCAAAGTCTGGCCTTGGCAGCCTCCCTGCTTATCAGACTCAACGTTTGACCTCATGTAACCGATGTAATTGAGGAAACGGTTCGTCAAGTACTTGACGTCGTTCTTATTGGCATGAGCTGAGAGCCACTTCTTAACATATGGCGCAAGAGACCTGGTGCTTGCATAGAGAATAGCATCAGAAGAAACACTGCCGCAGTAGATGCCGAAGTCAGATGAGTCCTGTGTAGGGTCCCAGTTATTGCCTTGCAGGCCTCCAATGCCGCGAGAAATGGCGTTTGCGAAGTCATCGTCGCGTAGACCGAGGAGACCGAACGCAATCTTGAGCTGTTTCTTCTCCTCCTTGTCACTTCCAGTGAGGATCTTGTCGACAACCTGAGTGAGCTTCTGTGTGACCTTGGCGCAGTCGCCGGGTGCGAAAAGTCGCGCAGCCTCGAAGTACTCCCAGTAGTCGATGATAGCCTGGGTGACACCAGAAGAGGAGATACCACCCCAAAAGACGTCGGGGTAAATCTTTCTGGCGAAAGCAGCAAACGCACCAGCGTAGGATCCTCCGTAGATGATGTAAGGCGTGTTGGAAGCAGTCAAATTGTGCTTCTCCAGACCCGGAAACTTGACATTCTCGGCAAAGTACGCTGTATCAGCCAGAGCCTGCTCAGTGGACAAGAAACGCAGGTTCTTTGTCTTGAGATCCGGAACAGGGAAACTGGTGCCATAATAACGATGCTCGAGGATGACTCCGACACCACCAGTCGCATTGGCCAGCATCTTCAGGATGCCATGTTGGAGGAATGGAATTCTGTCCTCGCCTGAAGTCTCACCAGAGGCGAGAATAATGACCGGTCCGCCCGGGCGATAGTGCTGCGCATCGAACCAATATCTCAAGGGAAACTTCTTATCCGAGTGAGGCTCATACTTGGTCTCATTGTGGAAATGATCGACGGGAACCGAGATGTTGTGAACTTTTATGGATCCAGAGTCCGAGTCGGCTCGAGCTGACAGGGACAGGGCGGGGATACTGTACGCGCTTCCTCTGGCGGTGAGCGCCAAGAGGGCAGCAGAAGCGCAGCCAGCAAACCACATACTTTCTGGTGATGGCGATGTATGTTGTTGTTTTGGTCAAGATATAATCGCGGGGGGAGGCTTTAGGCTTCATATAGTTTTGCGATACGGCCAGCCACCTTCCTGTTTCAGATTAATAAGAGCATCATGGTCACACTGAAAAACATAAGTTCCGTTGCATTTGGAGCAAGGATCTCCATTTATATCCATAGGAAGGAACCTTTGTAGATTGTTGAATCACGGCATTTTCGAGCCGATTGTTACCCTTATCTGCTGCTGCTGCTGCTGCTGCTGCTGCCTGTTGATTGATAGAGCAGCATAAACCCCCGCCTTGTCACTGTGGTGATGTGGATAAACTCTCGCGTGATTCACGCAAAGTTTATCGGCATCAACGGATAGATACACGCACGTTACATGAAGCCAATTGCCACCGAACTTAGTGACATATATAATATGATGAATAATGTTATAGCATTCTACAACAGATGGACCCGAATGTCATCAGATGATTGAGCCATTACTCAGTCCTCGCAGCACATAGTCATGCTGTTCCGCCTATTCAGAGTTTGTTGACTGGGATGATGTTGAAACTTTCTGAAATTAATTGCAACGGTTAAATGACGTGGCTTGATATGTATCGTCTTACATACATTGATGGATTGTGCAGGTAAGCTGGATAAAAACCTTTCACGAACGCATATAAGAATGATCCGCGTCGAACAGGTGACGCAGGCAAGAATACATCTCCTCTTATCCGACATTGATTGAAACGAGAGTCATTGGGGCTGTCAATGTTCAAGCTATATATGATTTATTTGGAACAGCCATACTTCTCACCTAGTTCACGGAAAACCTCCAACATTTCAACCTTTCCAGTCACGATATTCTCATCAGCCTTATACTCCTTGGCGATCAATCCACCAGGCAGTGACGATTCTATCATTTCCATAAAGTCTGAAATGCAATGCTCAGGAAGGATCTGTCTGAAGAAAGTCTTCAAATCTTCACCTTGCGCAAGTCCGAGCTCAACCTTGTTGGCAGTGATTTCCTCAAACATGCCTCTCAGGTCGACTGAACTGTAGGCACGAGGACCAAAGACCTTGAGGACTTGAGGACTGGGGCTCTCAAGCTTGCTGAGCAAGCTATTCGCACAGGCCTCGCCAACGTCTCTGAGACTGACAATTGGGATCTTGAAATCTCTTGGTGCGATCCATGATGAGATTGTTGGCGGATCTCCCAAAAGCATTTGAAACATGTACTCAAACTCTTCCTGGAAATGAGTTGACTGTAGGATAGTCACTTCAGTCACAGAGTCTTTGAGAATCTTGTCGGTGTGATGATTCAAGCGGACAAAGCCCTACATCGTCAGCATCGACACAGTTGGTGACTTGGTTACTGTTACTTACAATGCCATGGTCATTATGAGATCCCAGACCAGACAGAACAACTAGTCTCTTGACGCCTGATTTCTTCAAGGCACCTTTGACATTGTTTGCAGTTTGCTTGGCCCATTCGCTCTGGTCGACGTTCTCATAAGTTGGCGGCGGGACATAGAGAACGGCATCAGAGTTGCTGAAATCGAGACTTTCCTCGGACGCAACATCGCCCCTGACTGAGCCGAAGTTTGGGTGGCTTGCGTATTCGTCTGGAGCCTTGGAGGTATCACGATAGATGCCACGGATAGTAGGACTGGCTGGGGAGGCTAAGAGTAAGCGGATGGTCTCTTTTCCAATCTTTGTAGAGGCAGGAAGAACAGTTATGTGAGCGGACATCTTGGAGGCCGGGTCGAATGTTGTAGCTGCTGTTTCCCATTTCTACGGGTACGGAACTGACTCACGTATATTTATATGGCTTGAGGCCCGTATCAATACGGATGCCGAGACCGTGAAAGAGGAGAATACCAAGGTATTTGCCAAATTTATCTATTCAGCTGAAAGCTGTGGCACCTCAAGAGGCTTGGCACTATTGGGATTGGGCAAACGCACTTATTGAGTACATGCGCTCCGCCAGTTTACGGAGGTCACAAAGAGGGAGGCCAAACTGCCAATGTTTGCTCAATATCGCTCTCAATTCTTTCTGATACGGACCTCGTATAACGGGTGCATGCTACTACCTGAACTCCCATATAGAGCTGGTAAAAATAACGTGATGCATATAATTGGCCAAAGTCATGGATGCAAGAATCGATGCATGCTGAAGTCAGCCGCCAGATTTGAGGCTTGTTACCCCTCATCGACATGGCCATATCATCGGTATACGACATCTAAGGTTGCTCATATTCATCAAAGGGATCGGAAAGACTCGTTCATATAAGAGGGCCACTCTGCATTTCTGTTTGGACTTGGCTGGCCACAAGCCCTCTACCTCGCCGCTGCCGTAATTACTTCTTTGAAGAGAGCATCAAGATCTACATAATCTGCAAAATGTTACAAAAAATCGGAGCTGGTGGTGTGGTGTAGTGAAATTCTCAGCCTCAACATACCATTCGCAGATCTCATAGCACGCCTATTCTGAGATCGAAAGCTTGAAATGCATCTCAGCGCAGTCCATTCATGTGAGCCTATTGCTATTTGGAGACCATGTAGGGAAGAAAAACAGCAAAGAAGTGCTGATTTAGGGTGCCAATGCTTTGCTATCAGAAGCAATATCATTCAATTACAGAAGAAACTAGACTAAGCTCGAGCCGAGCAGAGGCTTTCCAGAACGTGACAAGAATTTGAGTATCATGTATGCTTGTCACCTCTCGCCTTACTGAGCGGCAGGCATCAA